TCATTAGATCGGGGTTATCAGATTGTAAAATATAAATTAAATATTCAAACTGCATGGTTTTATTCGTTTGGACCGTTTGGTTTTAGTCAAATTCAATAAGAGAAAGAAAGAGAAAAAACCTATTTAATTAGTTTAGTTCAAATTATTGGATTAATCGATTAAATTAAACTAACTAAATTGTTAAAAATACTTTAAAATTGGTGAACTACGTAGCTCACACAGATTGTTGCTCCACTTTTGAATTTAGAGTAAGTTGGTTCCGTTTGTCTTTTTCAATGTAATCAATGGAATGTTAGATTAATCTAATGAGTTAGCTTAATGGTTTATATTCGTATGCTATTGAGACGATTTATTTAATAAAAAATTTTGTATACAATTTTAATTTTGCAAAAAAAATATTAAGATTAGAGACAATTACAATAAGTAAAATTATGTTTTCAGTGAGTTAAGAGATACCCATAATAAATTGAATACTACTCTAAACTATTCTAAACGTTTGCTAGAGTCACCATATCCCCCAAAACCCAAAACTAATCTAAAAGTATTTTTTGGACATGCAAATTACGATTCGACTTCTGTAAAAGAAATAAAAGAGAAAAAAAAAATGATAAGTAATACGATGTAGATGGAGAAAAGAAATAAAAATAATAATTGCTAGAACATCCACTACCTACCATCCTCTTTAAATTCTTAAATAAGTATTAATTCTACACATCACTCATTTATTTTATTTTTTTATAATTTAAGCAAGTATCCCCTTTAATTGATTTCTTTTTAATCTTTAACATGTTATATGGGTTCCACTAAATTATACATTTTTTTTAATCTTTTTGCTATAACCTGTTTCAATGGGAAGGTGAACTATTACAACAATTGCAAGTTGACATTGATTTCTTGCACCTGCAACATGGAGTCAATGATCATTGGGTCTGATCAGCTTCAAAAGATGGTCAATATTCTGTGAGGTCAGCTTACAATGTCATTGTGAATAAGGACATATTTGGTGAATTTCCTCCATATAATTATTACCTATGGTCCAAGTTTCTTCCTTCAAAAGTGTCTGGCTTTGCTTGGCGATCTATGCTTAATAAATTACCAACAAAACAAAACTTAATTAAAAGAGGGATTCTACAAGCTGGAGATGGATTCTGTATTTGGTGTGACCATGATCTAGAGACAGTGTCCCATTTATTTTTTGAATGCCCTTTTGCTTTTTGCATATGGATGTTGTGTTTAAATTGGTTTGGTATAATGTCTGTGCTCCATAATTCTTGCCACCTTCACTAATTAGCACAGTTTGTGGGTTTACCTATTTGCTCTAGTGTGGATCGGTTAAGATGGTCAACTGTGTGGATGACTGTTTTATGGTCTCTTTGGATTGCTAGGAATGAGGCTATCTTCTATGATAAGGTCATACTACATTCTAACTTATTGGAGTTGATTCAGTTGCGTTCTTGGAAGTGGCTTAAGGCTAAGGACTTTTATTTCCAATACCCCTACTCATCTTTTTTTGTTTCCCCTACTTTCTTTCTAAATTTTCTTTACATATTATATTTTTTATCTTATTTTGCCTAAGCTACGAGCAATATTATACTTGTGGGAGATCACATACTGTCACCATCAAGGGTATCAAACAGTGTCCTTGTGTGAAATCTGTGGTAAATCACTTAGTATTTGCTTTTTAGATGTCGTATCTTCTATTACTGTAGCTGTAAAATAGGCACCGTGTTTTTTAGTTGCTACAAGTATTCTTTGACCTTTGTAGTTGCTTATGGGTTAGAGTACCCCTTGTACTCCTTTTTAATAAATCTTTTTTGCCTATTAAAAAAAATTATTTATTATTAAAAATATTTTAATTGGACCAGGCGTTAATTTTTTTTTTCTGCATCTATTGTTTGGTGTTATAATTAGTTCAATTGAACACGAATGAAAATCACAAATTGATTAGAAAAATTGAAAATGATGGAAAATTATGTTAATTATATTTTCCTAAATCATTATGTTCAGCTCAATTTTCGGATTGAAATGTGATATTAACTCAAATCAAATCACACTTGTATGCAAAAAAAATTTCCTAATATATAATATAGGTATACAAATTGATAAATATATAAAAGATTTTTTTATTAGATTGTAAGTTATTAAATTGTACCTTACGAAAGATGTTTGATCCCCATAAATATACTTTATAATATAGTAAGACGTATTTGAAATTTTAATTGATTTTTTTTTGTATTTAATATTTGAATCAATAATAAAAAATTATAACTTTTTATTTCATTTATTAAAAATACGAACATGTAATTAATGTATATTTTTAATTTTTTAATTTTTAAAAATTTTGATAAATTAACCCATCAACTCGTAGTGAGTTGAATTTTTCTGGTTCATTAGAAAATGAGTTGAGTTGATTTAACCCATTTAAAATACCAATCCTTGTTAAATTAACCCGTGTTAATCAAGCTGGTTCATTTTGACACCTTTATCAATGATAATATTTATTTTTATATATAATTTGTTAGAATTTTTTAGTTATATATAATAAACATTTAACTTATGTATTGTAGATGCTAAAATACTAGTTTTTAATATTAGTATACTTTTAATTTTATTTTTGATGCACAATTCTTAAACAAATAACATAATATTATAATTTTTAGTTAATATTTAAATAACAAATTTTAAAAATTGAAACATCAAACCAAATCAATCCACAACATATTGGTTTAATTTAATTCGAATTTCATAATACACTAGTATTTTAACTGTACAAAATATAGACATGTTTATTATATATATATATATATATATATATATATATATATATAATTTTATATATA